GGGGGGGGGGGGCGGTGGGAATCACCGCAGGTGGGGAACATGCCCTACATGCATGCCAAAGCAGTATGTAGGAGCTGGATTGGAACCAGAAACTAGCAGCAGAATCATCTCTGTAGAAGAAGGCTTACTTGTGCCCTGAGCAGCTACAGGTTCTTTTTATATTCGGTATAATGGCTCAAAGAAATGGGCTCAAGACCCTGGGGCCAAGTGTCCTACCCCATCTTTTAGAAGAGGCATCAGTGTTGTAGGCAATACAATTTGTTCACTTTGGTTAAAATCATGGCTTCAAGTGTCATTTGTCACCGGTGTGTATGCAGATACGTAGTTTAGAGGCTCTGCTGGGCTGGTATCCCATTTTCTCCAGTACTGGGGTCCTTGATGGCAGGTCCCTCTGGTCCTCTTTCTGTAATGTTCTCTTTGGGATACCTTGACTCACCAAGATTGCCTTACCCCTGCACCTTAAACACTGGGCTAAAGTTAAGAGAGACCTGATTCTATAAGAAGCTGGGCCATTATGTATCAGTGGCATTTAGTCTGACCTTGGTTAATGGCTAATCACTGGACAAAAGACAAAGTGGGATCTATTGACCATGTGGCAGGAAGAAAGTGGTAATTGTTAGGACCTAGCGTAGGCTTACCAAGAGCCAGCAGTCATACTACCTATCCTCATTTTCTCTTGTCCAAAGAGTGATGTGTCTAGAACAAAAGCCCTATTGAAATTCCCTGGGCAGGTCCACTCTGGTATTATATCCAGTTCTAGGCCTTAGGTTTAAAAGGGTCATTAGCCTACCATAAAGAGACCATGATGGGACATAAACTATATATGGGATGATAGTTTGAAGAAATTGGAGATATTTAGCTGAGAAGATAGGTTTTAGTGGGGGCTTTAATAGGGAAGCACCATAACATAATAATTAAGAGTACTAGTTTTCTAGTCTCAAAGACCTGGATTTGAATCCCAGCTCTGCCATTGACCAGTTTGGTGTCTCTGGATACAATACATAGCTTCTTGAACTTCAACTTCCTCATCTGTAAGGAGTAGGTTATACTAACACTTAACTCACTAGGCTATCATGAGGATTAACTGAAGCTTAGAAAGAACCTGTCACAGAGTAGGATCTCGATACACGTTACTGTTTGGTGTGGAGATAACTCCCTTCAGATTCTGAAGAGGGGTTGGGTTTTCTATGGGTGGCCCCAGAGGGCAGGATCAAGATCAGTGGGTAAAAAGAACAGGCACACTAATTTCAGCTCAGTATACAGAAGTATACAGACAGAAGTCATCCTGTTGAATTCCCTATGCCAAGCAATGAGACAAGTCTTGCCTAGAGCTAATCAAGCTGTTAATGGGGTGTCAGATCCTAGAACCTATCCTAGTAATTGAAGCAATTTGAGCCTCACTCTTGAAGATTCAGTGTCATGTAATGCCAACTTATCACCCTCACCAATCCTCTGTATGCAGGCTCTGGAGTCAGACAGACCTGGGTGTGGATCCAGGCCCCACTACTCACTAACTCTGTGACATGGAGCAAGTCTTTATCTCTCTAAGCCTAAACTTCATCATTTGTAAAACTGAACTCATAAGGCTGTTATAATAATTAAATAAACTAAGTCATGTAAAGTGCTTGGCAGACATTAAGCACTGAATAGTTAGCTGCTGGTGGTAGTAGTAGTAATAAGGCAGCATTAGTAGGAGGAGGAGTAGAAGTCATTATTCATCCAACCATAGTAGTAAATGACTTCTGCTGCTCAAATTAGAATTATCACTGAGACAAACTAACATTTCATGTAGGAAACAACGTGGTAAAGGTGAAGAGACAAAAGGAACAGGATGGGTGTAAATGAGGTTGGAAGTGTGGAGGAGGGCCCACGTGAGCATGGACCTGGCCACAGAGAAGATCTACAGAGGGCAGTGGTTGAAGAGGACTTTGGGTGCCAAGGCTGAGGAGTTTGGATTTTATCTTGAAAACAAATGAAAGGCACTGAAAATAATTAAGATGAACTTTGGGAGAACAAAACCCCTCCTCAACCAGCCACAGGGCTCTACAAGATAAGAGGTAACTGGAGGACTCTGTGAGGCTGAGGGCACCTGATATAAGGGGTTTTAAGCCCTAGACTACTGGAATAATTTCTGGGGGAGAAAAGAGAAATAATAAAAGGCAACATTTGTTGATTCCAGAACTTTACATGTTCGAAGTCATTTAATGCTCTATGAAAAAGGTTTTGTTATTGGCAGATGAAGAAATCGAGAGATAAAAAACAAATGAGATGCCCAAGGTCATGTAGCTACTAATGGGAAGATCTGGGCATTGAGGCCAGGTAGTCTGGCTCCAGAACTCATTCAGTTACCTGAGCCAACTTGGTGACAGACAGGGGTCTAAGGTTCTGGAGGTTTTGGTGACTGAATATATCTGCCCTCTCCCATCCTTTCATCTGCAGTCTTCCAACGTAGCCTGGCTTCCTCTGGTACTGCCAAGATTGGTTTTATTCACCCTCCCCAGTTTAACAAAGTGAAAATTAATATTTAATTCTCCTAAATGAAAATCAATGGCTCTGTTGGCCAGCCCCAGCAATGTCCGTGACATCAATCTTTCCTCTGGGCCTGCCAGGGGTAGTAACAGCTTTAGTCACCTGGCCTGACGCCCACCAGCATGGAGGGAGGAGGTTGCCCAGCTCTTTGCAAGCACTGGGTCTTGGGCACAGCTGCCATCTGCTGGAGAAGCAGGAATAAGATCAATCTGGTCTCCTGGAGACAGGCAAGACTATCACTGGAACCAGGAAATGTTGGGTCAACTCCAAAGAGAAAGCCTAAACCCCCAGGGAAAATTTCATGGTAACTGCTGGGAGTGGGACATCCCCTTGGTTCCCCTACCCTGCTCTCTACTAATTTTGGTCACCTATCAAAGCTTGGCTCCTTACTAAAGACTACCTTCAGACTTTAGTGGTCTGTCCCGTCTTCTGCAGCTCCTTCCCCAAGAAGCTGAAACCACTTCTTTCAGCCTCATTTTAAGTTCCAGAATCTACCTGAGGAAGGTGAAGCCCAACCTCAGCCCCACCTTCAGAAGGTACCCTCTTACTTGTCTCTCTCCCTGCTTCTGACCTCCTTTCCCTTGGGCATCCAACCCTTCAAGCACTGTGAAAGAGATACACATGACTGAGCACATTTGCTTTTTCAGGTTATGCCCTGCACAGAACAGTTTGAGTAGAAAGGGCAGATAGGGTCTAAAATCCAACCATGCTCTACTAACCAAGCCATGTGCTTTAGCACAGGAATGTGTCTGTCCAGAAGACGGGACACATTTTTTCTAACTTGCACAAAGGCACTTATGTGCTAGCGGCTACCCAGTGAGTGAGTCTGAGCCTTTGCTCTCAAGTAGCTTCCAGCCCAGAAATAACTTATTGCATCTCAGTGGGGTTTACATCTGACCATGTAAAAGAAGCATCAGGAGTGAAGAGGGAGGAGAAGCGTCATAGAGGAGATGCCATCAGAGCTGAATCATGATCATATGTCATCA